AAAAAAAAAAAAAAACATGTCTGAACAGAGTGCTAGATTCTACCAAAGTAGCCCCAATTAAAGAAGATGACAAATCTCTCCTGCATCTGGAGAATTTCTGGCAAAAACACCAAAGCCAGGTCTCTGGTGCCCGCAGAAGAAAGCTAGAGAAATGTTCTGATCAGAGGCCATATAGAACACAATGATGCCTGGTACACACCAGTGTTCTGTCAATGGGAATGCCCATTGTTCCCAAACGAGAACATGCCAAACAGTTACCTCCTGGCTTCTCCATACAAACTGTCAGGAAAAAACCTTCTACTGCCAGGAATGGTCTTGGACTTTATAGTACGGACTCCCGCCTACCAGCACTGAATAAAGACATCCTCAAAATTCCCTCACCTGTCCAGAGCACCAGCAGGTGCAGACAGTTGCCTTCCTCACCTGACATGGAAACTGAGCCCCTGAACCCTGCACAGCACCACAGCACTCAGCCACATTTCTACTACTACTCATACTACTAAGATTAGAGGTCCTATATAATAATATACATTAACTACTACTAACAGCCAGCACTGACCACCCTCAAAGCTCAAGACCCTCATCTCCATGCCTCAATGCAACCTGCAAAGAACATTATATTAAGCTCATTTTACAGATGGAAAAACGAAACAAAACCAAAGCTCAGAGAGGTTAACAGCTTATCCAGGGTCAAAAATTGAGCAAGAAAAAGTAGGATGACTCCAAAAACCAAGTTCTTCCCATTGTACTAGGCACTTCTCTCAGACTTTTTCTAAAGACATAGAAAATTCTAAGCCTTATTTCCAAGAGTTTCTGAAGTTGATCCATTTAACTAAGAGGTGGCCAAAAAGGTGTCTTTGTCCGGGCATGGTGGCTCATGCCTGTAATCCAAGCACTCTGGAGGCCAAGACGGGCAGATCACCTGAGGTCAGGAGTTCAACACCAGCCTGACCAACATGGTGAAACCCCGTCTTAAGTAAATAAAAAAAATAAAGGTGTCTTTACGCAATCACATTGCCTCCAAGACAACAAATAAACAAGTTTTTATTTTCTTTGATAAAGTGAATAGTCCAGATGGAAAATGAGAGATATTTTGAAGAATTTATTTATAATCTAAATACCTTGATTTTACATTTCTTCATTTATTTTTGCCCAAGATACATATAGAGAGAAATAAGAAGACAGCAAAAGGCAGAATTTCATTTTACTAGATCTTGAATGAAGAGTAATAAAGCAAAAAAAAATCAGATTTACATTATATTTTATGCAGTAAAAATTAAGAGGCAAGTGACTTCAAAAAGACTGAGGCTTACCTCAGTCTTACTCCTTCTTTTCCAAGGGACAGCACTCCAAGTGATCAGCAGACACTCCCAGCCTACATACAGTGAACCAGACATAGGGGATAAGTAACGCCTTCATGCTCCCAAAACCACAGTGGGAAGGAGTGTGATGGCTTCCTAGGGAACCTGAACACATATAGTATTCGTAAATTACGGCTCATTGAGACACAAACCAAAACAAAATGTTTTACCTGTGGTTTGTCTACAGGAGTACTTAAATTTAACAGGTATACAAAATAATGCAAAAATAATCCCATACTAAAATGAACTCACAGTGATAGCTAAACTTATTCCATGGAAATGTTAGGATAATTGTCATATTAACGTTAACATTAAATGTTAAGATAATTGTTTATAATTAACACATTATAAAAACTTTATTCAATGGTTTTACTGAGTAAAAGTTTGATATACCTCAATCACTTCTTTCTTCATAGACCTATAGCCACCTCTAAACCAGGAACTACCACTATCAAAATGTTAAAAATATCATCAGCATTGTGGAGGTGCCCAAAGCATGCCTGGCATAATGTAATAAATGTTGGTTTATGAAAGAATGAATGTACAGAGAGAAAGAATACTACTTTTTTTTTTTTGAGACGGAGTTTCGCTCTTGTTACCCAGGCTGGAGTGCAATGGCGCGATCTCGGCTCACCGCAACCTCCGCCTCCCGGGTTCAGGCAATTCTCCTGCCTCAGCCTCCC